TTTTTATCTCTTAATTTACATGTTCACGGTGTGTAAAACATCATGTACGACAACTCTCCAGCTATGTAATGGTTCGCCGAATTAGTTTGGGGAGTTCTCGCATTTAATTTTCTCTTCTTTTTCAAATAAAAAAAAGCTTATATCAATTATGAATATAATTTCTTGCTTTTTTCAGTATGTGACATATCTAAATTTCGATGTTTTTGAAACACAACGGCGGAATCATGTGGGTTGTAGAAAGAAATTCCGTCGTAGATTTTCGATCAGGGCGGTGTACTGCAAAGTGGGACCCTTAGTTTGAACTTTCAATTGATTTGAGTTGTCATCTGACCTGCTTTGTATACAGTGTTAAAAAAAGTATGCTGAAAACTGCTGTTTTCAGAAATTGCGATTCTATAGAAAACTTTTCAGAAAAGCTCGTTCGTTCGTGAAGAGTCGAAACGCACTTTTTGAAAGCAAACCAGACTTCTAAAAGCCTCAGACTAAGAAACACTTTTAAAATTGTATTTTCATGAAATAATTTGTGAAGAAAGGAGCTTTTAATGTGTTACAGAAAAGAACATGATAAACGACAGCAGAGAAATGAAGTCGGATCTCTCAAACAGTTATTGTACTAAAAGCTATAGCAAGAGCTAAAAGAACGAAATGGATAATGTTAACACGATGACTACCAGCTGAATGATGAACCGTGCTGCAAGTGGTATAATCAGGTGCTGTTACGACCGTTGGTCCTATATAACAATATGGTGTAACGGCCAAGATAATGGATGATTGTGTTATTGTTACAGCGGCATCTTTCGCATACAAACCGCCATTCACAGTGGCACCATTAACTGTTATACTTGTGCCAGCGAGCAATAATCCGTTTATTATACATCCAGTTCCGATTGTAATACTTGAGCCAACTTGAAAATAGATATGAGACGCAGTTGCGCCATTCAGTAAGATAATGTGACAGTTATTCGATGTTATGAATGTCGTACTGATTTGAAAGACAAACGGACCGGTACCATTTAATGTTAGATTACCGGTAAGGGTAATGGCTGACGTTGTAAAATTGTAAACACCTGGATTCAATATCAGCGTAGCCAAATCTGTCCCCGTTAGAGTTGGACTAGCGGTCAGATTACCCAGAACATTAAATGCTATATTTAAATCTTGTTGAGCTTGTATTGCCGCTGGATCAGTGATACGTATGCTGCCAATGACATTCCAACCTTGTACTAGTCCTGTATTCGATGTTCCCGGCGAAATGGCTACGTCTCCTATGACATACGTACTTCCCGCTGACGCAACGGTTGTAGCAGCAATAATTGCATAATTTGTTAGATTAGCACTGTATTGAGCAGAAATAAAGCTTACCAGAAGTAGACAGATAAAGACCTGCATTTTCTTTTAGTACTGAATAAAGAAAAGGATGTATGTAATATGTGAGGATAGAAAAGAAAGGAACAATGATAACATGGAATAGCCTTTCTGATAATGTAACCTTTTCGTTTAGATAGATAAATGAAACGTGTCCGGTTTCGTTTAGATAGGTAATTGAAACGTGTTCATATAAAATGAAACTTTTTTTGTGCATAAGATAAATTGTGGATATGCCTTTACGATGGCAGTGATAAAGGGTAGAAATATCATTTTAATCTCACACGAGAAGTTTTTTTACACTTTTTGAAAAAATCATATGTCGGCACGTAATACCTAACAGCCAAAAAAGATAATTTATTGAATAACTTTCTGTGTATATGCTTAAAAACTTCTATATACATAAACATGCAATATTTTTGAAAAAAAGCAACTTGCTCGTATACTATGGAATATTCTTTAATTAATCGATAATTTGGCTATCGTTGGTGTTGTTTGAATTCTATGTACTGAAAGATACAACCCAAATCCAAATTTTTGTATCACTGAATTTTGTCGGGTGCACATATCACTACCAAATGCGATGTTCAGCGACTATTAATAAGCGAGTTAAATAAGTTTTTTCGGATGGCCAAATACCAGTTCTAGAATTGGTGTATAGCCACTTTAGAGTAGTTAGCAGAGATGTAACCAATATCGGCAACCCGCCCGGTCAGAAATTGTTGACCGATCGGTCGGCCTGCCGGTCGAAAGAAAATTAATTTGATCGGCTGGTCGAGAAAAAACATTTTTTTCGTATGAAAAGTCAGTACTTTGTCGAAAACGAATTTTCTGACTTAAGGAAAACAAACGTTTTCATATTTCAAATTAAGAAAGGTAGTTTGTTTTTCTCTTTTTTGCCAACAGTATTTTGGTCGGGTCGAACTCGGCCTTTTTAAGTATGTGTGGATTTGTAATTTATGTGTATACTCACGAGCTGAAACTTAGTTGACAAAGGGTAATCGAACATGCTGGTTCCGAATATCATAATGGTTTTTGCCCGCTTTCACCTTAAAGCCTTCTTTGTCAAAGATCTTGGTTTCTAGCCGAAAAATCATTTGCACCAAAAATTTGTTTTGATCTGTCCATATGAAAGAGCACATTGCAAATCCAACAAAAAACATCTTTTCAAGGTTCTTTGTGAGATTTTGAGCGAGTATTTTAGGCCGAGAACCAAAAAAAAACAGCGAAAAACCGATTTTTCATCATAGATTTAGAACACTCCGAAACAGACATTATATTCCTCATTTCCGAAAACATCTTGAGCATCATGGAACTAAAAGACAAAAAACGCAAAATCTGGACGAGCTACTTTACAAAAAGTTAATTGATACACGAGAAAAAAGCCTGGCAGTTCATGATTTGGACATACAACGGTAGGGTTTACGGATAGCCAGAGAAATTAAGCTTGAGGAATTTCGTGCTTCTCATGGTTGGTTAGAAAATTTTAAAGCTCGCCATAGGTTAGTTACTCACAACGTCACTAGTTGAATATTGGAGAGATAACTGTTTTCTGCCATTGGTCAGCGCCAAATGTTTGTTACTCTATGACAGTTACCCTGGCCAAAGTCGAGAAGAAATCTTTCAGTCTCAAAACTGCAGCGGCAAACAGATAACACGCTTGCAAATTCCGCAGAATATTACTGCCGATCTACAGCCATTAGATTGTTATTTTAATAAGTAAATTAAAAACTTTCTGAAAGCTTGTTATCATCGTGTTGCACTGGACGAACTGGATATTCACTTGCACGAACGAAACAATATCATTAAATTAGTCAGTCTACACCACAATCAATTAAGCGCACCTGTTTTTACTCCAATGATTAAGTATTCTTGGATAGCTAGCGGACTATCAAAAGAAGCTCCTTCACAATTTCATAATGTGAATGAAAGGACGGGGGTCGATAAGAGGCAAAATCGGCCCCCTCTCAGATCAAGCTCATATTCACAAGTCTGATGTAGTTTTTCTCGCTGATTAAAACTAGCATCTCAAAAAAACCATTTTCAGCCCCCCTG